TGCTTGAGGATCGACACGGATTGGACTGGATTTCCATTCTTCTCGGAGAGGCATTACAAGCTGTATGTAAGTGTTTGCCATATTTGCATCTCCAAGTCGATGTCCCAAGTCAATCCGTACGTAAACACTTTCTTTCATTCTGTTTGTGGATATTCATGTAAGTCTATAGAACTTTTCGCTTTCATTTACCAAAGTGAACAATACTCCTCTATAGAGCTTACGTGGTGACTCTTAAGTGCCTGGTTTCATCCTGGAGTATAAACGTGTACCTAGATGGATTAGTCTGCCCTCAAATAGCAGTAATTATAATAGATTTCTTCTCCATAGAGAAGTAAGATACATTCTAATTACTTAAAGGAGCTACGTCACGATTTGCGCATCTTAAACTTTTACCCTAGATTTTTCCTAGATTAAGGCTGGCGAATGGTCCTTCAAAACCCATGGGCCTCGCAAAATTTTCGCCGAATTTCACGGGTCCCGCAGTCTCGTATTTTTAGCGGTTATGTGCGTCTCGCAGTCTCGATTTTTCTCACGAAGCTGCCTCGCAGTCTCGATTTTTTTCAAGGCTAAGAAAGTCGTGAAGTACCGATTTATTTATATTTTTCATATAGTTAAATGACATCTGAACATCTTAGAACCCGAACGTCTCAAGCTCGCGCATTTAAAACACTTTGAAGTCTCGCTGTCGCAACTGAATAACTCAAAATGTCTCGGGCTCGCAAAGAAAAACGTTACACTCACCTTATCGCATAATCTCACATTTAGCACTTACCACCCTCTTAGATTAGTTCGTCGATTTTGATCCGAGTAAATCTTCTCCATCCTCAACCATCCATGTTCATTTAGGGTTTATTGTTATCTCTCGTGTTTTTATAATTAGTAAACTACTGTTTTCAGGTTTCCTTCAATTTTGAGCTAATTTTCTCCGTCGCCAAAAAAACTTAAAATGCGGTGACTGAGCTCCCTTAAAGACAGAGATAACCAATGATAAATTCGTCCGCACGTGTAATGCTCGCCCCTTGCCAGATAAGAGTTGATGTGGTGTGCTGAATCTAAACACCTTTTCTTCATTTTGTAGATATGCCGCAATGGTGTAATCCAGTTGAATTATGAATGGAGCTGGTGGTGGCCGCGGAAGTTTGGTGTCTACTGGTGGCTGAGAAATATGGCAATTATTGCACCGTTCTGGGCCACGACCGATACGTATTTTGCCTTTAGAGACGGTCATTCTAAGGTGTATTATCAAGTGTACAGCCAAACCAAGGAAAGCTCTTCCGAAATCCTCAAAAGGGCCTCACAAGATGTAACACGCTATGACGAGGGTGACAAATTTGCCAACTTTGCTGCCAGTTGGGTTCTTGTCGTGACCTGGCAGAAACTCTGTCCATACGTCTATTATCCATATTACTACTACTATGAAGAAAACGTTCCCTTAAACTGTCCCTGGGTAAGCATTTCTTTTTCTTTTTTCTTCAGCTAATCTTTGATTAACTCACCGAAACAGTGAATAGTAGAAAATTTGCCAACTTTGCTGTCACTTGGGTTCTTGTCATGACCTGGCGCATGCTCTATTACTACTATTACTACAACAACTGTCTTTGGGTAAGGCGTCTATTATCCATATTACTACTACTACCAATGCTATTATTATTAGAGAGAAAACGTTCCGTTAAACTGTGGGTAAACATTTTCTTTGG